CAGTCAGCGATACAGATTGACAAATTTGCTTCGGGTTTGTTCTAATCACATACATTTCTCACGAAAAAGACGTATATGTATATGAATCAAAGGAGTACCTACTCTAAGATTTCTAGAGGTATCGAGTGGTATCGGCTCAAAATACCTATCAGATTATACTATCACTCATACTAAAAAAATTAAAAAACTCACCAGCGTGAAAAAGGTGAAAAACGAATTATTGGATGAGGAATACAAAAACACATTACTATCACTCATTTTTTAGGGAACACTCCTTTTGGAACGATAAATAATTCCTTTCGCGTATTTTTCAATGTCGATCACAAAATTCGACCGTTACGTGATGACATCTAATATAAAACTGTCTTGATTTACCACCTGGTCACGAATGAATGAGTAATGAGTTAAATCATGCTGCTAACCGATTAATTTCCGAACAAATGATTTATCTATGACTAATGATGATAATGGAATTATACGGAGGGGCCCGGGGGGAGGCAATGACTAATGATGATTATACGGGGGGAAAAGAGATATATAGTATACAAAATATAAGATGAAGTATTGAACACGGATATACTGACAGTATTATTTTCGAAAGTCTAATGATTTAAACAAATTTAACCTAGGCTGAAAATATAATCTTTTCCAAAATATCTACATATGTTTTGTTAACTGGAAAGAAGAGGAAAATAATGAACAATGTGGTCTACACTTTTTATAGGCGCGCATCCAAATTGACATTTGGTATAATAATAATATGTTTATTTCGACAGAATCAGAATACGATGGAAGAAATAATGATAGCAAGTTGACATTATGTAAATAAACATTAGAAAACCCACAGAAGCAGCAAATGCTGATTGTACGTGGTGAAAAAGTATGAATTGAATTTCGTTTGACGAGCTATTATTGGAAATACTAAGATTAATAATTTTGGAATATAAAATTAAGTAGGTACAAAAATTCAAGATTGTAAAATATTTATATACAAAATAATCATGGATAGATATAAAAATAAATGAAATGGAAGAACTCCGGTGTTTTTTTTTATCGCTTGGAGACGTATCATGAATATGTATATAAAATTACTGACAATACTAAAATGAATAATTTTGGAATATGAATCTACGTACAAAAATTCAGGAGTGTAAAATACTTAATTAATTTGTGTGTGTGAAAATGTAATGAGCACTCGAAAATATCTAAAATAATTGACAAATTGTCTTATGGAACGAAATCCATCGATAGTTCACCTAATTCGGCTCTAATTAAGTTGAAATTTGAGGACTGGTTATTTTTTTTTTATAAAATTAGATTTTTTGAATAACGAGTTCAATGAAAATTCTATTTTCCAAATTGGATGCGCACTGTTGAAAAAAGAAGTTTTTTGTTTTGCATGAAGACGGATCTGGATTCTAAATTAGATTCATATTTAGTTTTGATGAGAAATATGAGTTGAATATACCTACCAAGTATGAATCGATTATACACAGTGGTTCAGAAGTTATGACCTAACCATAGATGAAGATTTTGCCAAAATCAAGATTACGTTCTGTATCACAGTTATTGAAGATGGTAAATTCTTAAAAGATACAGTTTCGAACAGGAAGAACGAAAATCAGAAGAGAGTGTTCCTTGATCGGAGAAAATACAACAAACGGTACGAAACATATACAGGGTATGTCACGAAGAGCTTACATACTATCTCTATATCGAGAATCAGTCGGGAGACATCCTTGAAAATATGCATGTGATCAGAATTCTGAACCTTGAACCACCCTGTATCTGTTCCGATTAAATATCAGTAAATAGTGAAACAAAAGTTGAGATAGGGACATGTGAGCCGTTTTGACCGATACTGAATATTTTCGACACAAAAAAATCCTAAAGTTGAAAAATATCGATTTTGAACACCCTATATCTCTGTAATCATTTAAGATAGATCCCAAGTATGATACATCGATGAAATCAGCTCCTCAGGGAAAACCTTAAAATGCGATGAAATACAGGGTGTTCCGCTCGAAATATCAATGTTGCTACTACTTTCTAGTAGGGGCGGCAACACTGCATTGTCGAACGTATCTTAAATGAAATGAACGTATACCAAAATACAAGCATGCACATTTTCTTGAATTTCTCCTGACTGATTCTCGATTTAAAGATAGTGTAAGCTCGTCGTGACATATATACCCTGCATGGGGTAATGAAGTTAAATGAATACAGAGAAATATGAGGAAAAATTTAGAGAATTTTTCTGCACTCACCAGCGTGAAAAAAGTGAGGCTTTGATGAAACAACACGAAACACTAGAACAACACACGATACCGATATTATTATTATTGAATCAAATGAGGAATAAATAAACACTATATATACGAATCAATACGATAACTCAGTTCTCAGGGAACACTCAGTTTGGAACGATAAATAATTCCTTTCGCGTATTTTTCGATTTCGATCACAAAATTCGACGGTACATGATGACATCTAATATAAGACTGCTGTCTTGATTTACCACCTGGTCCCGAATGAATGACTAATAAGTTGAATCATGCTGCATGCTGCTAACCATCTGCTAACCGATTAATTTCCGAACAAAAAATGATTTATCTATGACTAATGATGATAATGAAATCGAACGGGGGGGAGAAGATATTTTGTATACAGGTGTTATTTTTTTCGAAAATCACCAACAATCGATATGGAAGAATTTTACATAGGCTGAAAATATATTTTTTCCAAAAATCTCGTGATTATGGAAGAACAACATACAATATGTAGTGAAGAGATCGAACCCTTTCCATTACCAAGAAATTATTTACCACAGTGACATACAGGCAAACAATTTTTGTTTCATAAATATTGGTCACACGTAGTGGAAATAAATCAAAGGAGTAGCTACTCTGAGATTTCTAGATGTATCGAGTGGTATCGGCTCAAAATACCTATCAGATTACACCTACTATCACTCACACTGATATACTCTCACCGTATTATTTTCGAAAGTCTAATGATTGAACACAGGCTGAAAATATAATTTTTCCCAAAATCTCTAGATATGTTCTGATAACTGGAAAGAGTAGGAAAATAAAGAACAATGTGGCCTACTTTTTATAAGCGCGCATGAAATTTGACATTTGTGTGTGTGAAAATGTAATGAGCACACGAAAATAACCAAAATAATTGACAAATTATTCTACGGAACAAAATCCAGGACTGGTTAGTTTTTTTTAATAAAATTGGATTTTGAATTACGAGTTCAATAAAAATTCTATTCTTCGAATTGGATGCGCACTATTGAAAAGTAGACCAATTCATTGATTTTTCCTGCTCCTTGCAGATATCAGAACATATCCACCAAATTCTAATATAGAGAGTGTTGTTATTGAGAAAGAAGAAGTTTTCTGTTTTGCCTGAAGACGGATCTGAATTCTGAAATCGATTCCAATTTAGTTTTGATGAGTGATATGAGTTGAATATACCTACCAAGTATGAATCGATTATACACAGTGGTTCAAAAGTTATGACCTGATCATAGATGAAGATTTTGCCAAAATCGAGATTACGTTCTGTATCACAGTCATTGAAGAAAATAGATTCTTAAAAAATACAGTTTCGGACAGAAAGCACGAAAATCAGAAGAAATAAATAAGCATTTCTCGATCGGAAAAAATACAGTTTCGAACATAAAGCATGAATATCAGAAGAGAGTATTCCTCGATCGGAAAAAATATATCATATTCAACCCCCCACATACAAAATATTTTTATGGGTGTAAATGAAAAACTGCTGCGATGACATAGGGTAGGAATCATTCAAACAGATCTAAGGAACGATTTGCCTATCGAAAAAATCCTCGCAGCCCCTATCGAAAAAAAATATGTCATATTCAACCCTCCACATAAAAAAATTTAAAGGTGTAAATGAAAAACTGCTGCGATGACATATAGGGTAGGAATCATTCAAACAGACCTAAGGAACGATTTGCCTATCGAAAAAATCCCTGCAACTACTATCGAAAAACAATATATCATATTCAACCCTCCACATAAAAAAAATATTTTAGGGTGTAAATGAGCTAGAGACTGCTGCGATAGAGACTGCTGCGATAGAGACTGCTGCGATGGCATAGAGGGTAGGAATCATTCAAACAGACCTAATGAACGATTTGCCTATTCGAATGATTCCTATACCATATGTGATTGCAGCAGTTTTCTATTTACACCCTTAAATTTTTTTTTTTATGTATGTGTAGGGTTGAATATATGATAATTTTTTTTTAGATAGGGGTTGCAGGAATTTTTTTGATAAGTGAGGGTTGCTTCTGTGTGCACGTGTATATATTAGAGTTCGTGTATATATACCAAAGAAGGGAAGTGTTCTATTTCGTGCAAGATAATTTATTCAAATTTATTACTCGTAGCAGAGCGCTTTCGACTGTTTTAAGGCATCATCAGTGCATACTCGTCAGATTATCTTGCACGAAATACAACACTTCCCTTCTTATTTGGTATTTTTTTGGTAGGCAAATCGTTACCCAGCAAACACAGGGCAGTAACTGTAAAGTACTATGGAAGTAATTTTGCAACTAAAATCCGCGTGCGATGTACGGAAAACATCTCCTTCCGCTCTTATTTGCAGCGAAATGTCCGCGACATTAAGTACGCATTTCATTAATTGTGTTGTTCAAATTGAGATTTGGAAAAATAGCCCAAATACAGCATATACCCGCATAGGTCTGTTTGAAAGATATCTTACCTATGTCATCGCAGCAATTTTTCATTTATACACGCTTACAATATTTTTTTATGTGATGGGTTGGATTTATTCATATAGGTATTTTTTTGGATACGTGTTGGAGGGATTGTTTCTATGGTCAAATCGTCAATTACTTTATTGGGTATCTCAAATGTTTTCAGCAGTTCTTTATAATTATATAATACCCTCAAAATATTGTTTTGTATTTGAAGGCATGAAAAATAAAACATTGTCCGCCACTGGGTCTTCGGCAATGTTCGTAAATTTTGGCTGCTATCTTTGGCTGCTATTTCACACAGCTTGTCTGTGGACTGTAGATGCAGATGCCTTGTTGTGACTGTTGTGATTGTGAGTGGAAATTAAATGTCAATACAATCACAATAACCTGTAAATTTGTAAACTTACGTTACTTACGTAATTTAAGCCTAAAAATCAAGCAAACGAATAGTTTTAGAGCACACATTATGGGAAAGGCTTCGCAAACAGGAGGCGTCAAGCCAATGTCCATTGCTGGGCGATATGTAAGTGAAAGGGAACGTCTTCTTGGAATGACCGATGCTGAAAGAGCGTTTCGAAAACAATGGCTCAAAGACCAGGAACTATCCCCAAACGAACCGAGAAAAGTCCCTGAGATGTACAAGGCTACTTACAATCCAATACGGAGGGCATACAGATGGCCCTTAGATCAGTTAGCAAAGATCATGGAACCTGCCCTAGGAGCCCAAAGAGCCTACGTTTTCAGATATTTCACTGGTAAAATCATGCTTGGAGTTGCTGGTATATATTGGGCTACTTACTACTTCAAGTATAACAAGAGTGATTGGACCAGGAAAGGTGGATGGAGAGTTATTGAATCTGGTGAATCTGTACATGAAGGAGACCCAAGGTATCCATGGGTTTCTCCAAAATCAAAGGGAGCTGACTATGCTAGCAGAGGATTCAATGAATTTGAGTTGAATTTGTGAATTAGGAGTTATCTGAAGCAATAAAATAGTGAATGCATATTATCTTGTCTTCACATTCATTGATCAATCAATCAAATATCAACTAGGTATGATTCAAATCAATCTATCCACAAGAAGATGCAATACTGGCAAACAATTTTACTATAATTAAATACATAATGCTGGATCTCCCACTCATTTGGAAAAAGGTATCACTAGGCAATACAAGGTCAATATTTTCCATTATTTTATTTTCATGATATAGAATATATTACTTTTCTTCTTAAAACATATTTTACTGTTATAAATAATTTATGGTCTGCTGTAAACCCAGCAAACCTAACACAAAAATGCATGAATATAAACTTTGTTTGGAATGATATTTACAATAATTTCAGCACCTTCACCTGAACTTAAGCACTAAATACAATACAAAGAATATGAATATTGAAAAGAAGACCATGTACAAAATATAATAATTGTGGGAGCCTCTAGATAACCTTAAAACTTTATTCATAGTTGTCCCTAGGAATCCTCCAGTTCTGTCCATATCGTCGTCCACATCTCTAAGAAGCCTGTCTTGATGTTTAACCTCATTGCCTATATCAATGGTAAGGGATTTCAGGACACCAATTTTTTCTTGCAGGTCATTGGTCATTCGATCGTTTTCATCTTCAATTTCATTGGAATTTTGAGGTACTGGTTCATAACTGTAAGCTGCATGTGTTCGTCTCATCTTATATGATGCCAGATTTGAATTTTTCGATAGCAGACAATCAGAACAATATTATTTTTTTTGTAAAATATAGATTAAAAACTGCATCAGAAATAATTTCTCAAATGACCAGATGACAAGACAATGTTGACTATTGTTGATTTGTTGACAGTCTTGACACTGTTGACAGGGCAGATGAGTGGATTCTGGATGACGTGTTGACGTATTCTACGTCATAACGAAACACTCATAACCTTAGATCATAAACCAGAGCTAACAGTGTTGCCGATCTGTTGCAGACATTTCCCCATGACCATAACATTACCAGGAAAGCACCCTCTTCTTTTTTAAAATGACTTTTTCTACAAACGTTAAAAATATGACAAGTTTCGCGCATGGGTAACAATTTGCAAAGTGACACTTTTTTTCAGTTTCCTACCATGTGCGAAGCATCAGTGAGCGAAGTAAAACTTGATGCGCGAAGTACATATACTTCTCGCATTGTGTATGCAAACAGTTTAACGCTATTTTTTCAACTCAGCTGCGCCTCGTTGAAGAAATCAGTTCTTCATCGTTGCATTTTGCGCACTAGATATAAAAATAACTATTTCTCTAAGTGTCATAAAATAATGACGATTTAATGATCGCATTCATTAGTTATTTTTTTATCTAGTGCGTGACGAAATGCTACTTTTGGTGAACGAGAACTGATTTTTTCAACGAGGCGCAACCCATATGCAGTTGACAAAAAATAGTCACACAAAAAGTATTTCTCGCACGACTTGCACACAAAATTTTTTCAACAAACTTAAAAAAATACTGTTATCAAATAAGTAAAATGTGCTTAGCTCAATATACAAAATAATGTTGAACTGATGGCTTTAAAAAACCTTATAATTATTGTTAAGCATTCATAAATGAATGATTTCTTGGATTTTCGCTTGATTGATCAATTGAGCTAACATCATATATTTACGATATTTTGTTAATTTCCAATCAACCTGTAAAACAAGTGGAAATTAAAACATCGGAAATATTTTTCCTTGGCAACTTGATTAAAAATCAACTGTTTTAACTCATTCATATGGCACTCTAGAGTGTAAATATGAAAATAGAAATTTCAAGACGATGATTCTTGAAAAGTTGCAAATGGGGTGTTGTTTTACTCAAAATTTTATTCTCTATCGAAATACGTAAAAATATATCGAGAGTGTAAGAAAATAAGGACCATTTCTGGTCAAACCGGAAATGACATGAAACAATTGAATGATGAAAATGGTGATAACTTTGCACTCATTATGCGATGGGATTTTCTCCGGATTTTTTTTTTGTTACTTACGTATTTTTACCTGAAAACACGAATTTGATGATGAAAATGTGAACAGACCATTATTTATTGAGAAATTCCAAAACAAAGTTGAAAACTCTCTTCTTTTCCGCCTGTCTTTTGGATCGTATTCAAAACAATTTGTCCTATATTTTTATTATCAGACAATTTATATATAACAATGTATGTACATACTTCAATGACACATTTTTTTTCATATATAAGTGAACTAGAAATATGTTTTTCTTGGGATTTATCAATATCTAGTGAGAATAAGTATCATTTGAAATGACGTGTTTAACCTCATTCAAAAGCAATCTGTTGACATTTGACTTCTCGTATTTGGATTGATTATTTATTAACTGGCCGTCATCTGGTGTGACTGTTTACTAAATATGAAAAACTCGCCATAGAAGAAACCATATTTCGTGTTGAATTCTCTATTTTGGGTCATTGAAGTACATCATAAGTAGGTATATAAAGTGTGCAATGACAAAATAAGAAGAGTAAATAAGTAGCTGTAAATGCAACCAAAACAGGGGGGAAAAGAAGGCAAAATTTCGAACTGTTTCTTGAAATATCTCGATGAGTAGTGGTTTGTTCACATTTTCATTATCGAATTCTTGTTTATCAGACAAAATTACCCGAATAATATGCATATTTTATATGTACTATGATTACACAACAAATTTCATTTGTTTATCTGGAGAAACAAAAAAGTTATAGGGGTGAGCCACTTCTGAGAGACAGCCAGTATACAAAAGATCGAATTAGAAAGCATATCTTTCCATCAATCAACGAGAAATAGGGTACTACTATATGCTTTTCACATTGTCAATAATAATTGTAAGAATGTTGAGACAAATTTGAAACTTGGCAACCCTGAAGGAGATCGCTGGGACTTGGGAGAGGGAGAGGGGATATGAGTAATGAGGGGATTTTCATTTTTATTTCATTTTCAGTAATTCCAGTTGTCAGTGTACTGTACTGTTGTCAGTTTAAGGATTACGATCACCGTTTATTGTTCATACATCATATTATTATCCTACTTAATTCTGTGACATTGTGTTCATATTTCTCACTTTATCACTTCTCGTGAGTTGATGTGATTCACTTCAAACATCAATAATATGTTGGTAAATGTCCACTACCCAGAAGAGAAGTGACATTTCGATTTCGTCAGGTCAGAAAACGGACCAAATTGAACTTCTGAAAGAGTGTTCTAGCAGACGATAATAATAGAACATTCCTAGTCTTGTGATGAAAATATTGAGACTTCCAGTAGTTCTTGTGGTTACTTTCACCTTCAGTATTACAGTTTAGTGTGTATACAGTGATATGTGACATTTTCGACACCCCAGTGGTCAGTTTTCATTCGATTATTTGTTTATAGATTGAAAGTGAAAGTTTGGATTGGTCTTTTCGATAAGAAAAAACATTGGGCAAGAAAAGTTTGATTTTTCTTCAAGATCTTCATAATCAATAACAATAAAATTGCTAGCATTGCTGCCAAGTCTACTACTGGATACTAGAGAGTGACTTTATAAATAAAAGTTACTCTACTTACGAGGCCGAACTTACTGGATACTGGATCCTGGATCGAGAACGATATTTGAATTGTGACAACACCGCACCAGCTGAGCAGTACAAGGGCCCCGAATATTATACAGAAATAGCAATTTTGACGTGCACTTTACCATATTTGTAAAATGTAAGTTGTTGTTTATTTGGATTATCTACTTCCTGGATCTTTTCATTTTGAATTTGGGAAAATATTTGCAAAACATGATAAACCAACAAGTCAATGATAGGCTCAACAAAGATCCTTACAATATACTTGAATTATGATGTAGGTACTCAATGTTCTTATATTCCTTCTATTTGAGATTTGGTTCTGCTAGCTTAATGGTTAAGCTAGCAAAACCCATGATTTTTAAATAAAAACAATGTGGCAAAAAATCGGAAATAGGCTAGAATTAAAGAATTAAATTAGCCTTAGATTATGGTATAACTAGTTTTATGATTGAACTTTTATTTTGAAGTAGTTCTTAAGCTAGCAGAACCCATTTTTTTTTGCATAAATCGAAGATCAATAAAATCGGCAATAGGGTAATAAATTAGGGTAAGATTAGCTTTGAATTTTTGAAAGAAAAAATTGGAAAATCCGAGGGAAAAAATTTGGGGTGGTCTGATAGCTTATTTATTGGGGCCTTTTTTTCTGTAGAGGTGTGGAATTTCCGAGGGAATTTCCTCAGGATTTTCATAATCTGAGATTTACTTAATTGTCCAATAATATGCATACAAAAAAGCGAGGGGTGGCTCACTTCCCTAGATTTTGTACACCATATTACCAAATCAGGTAATATCAGTAATATTTAGGGGATATTACCATAATACCAATAATACTCAAGATATTACTAAATATTACTGATTATGTGGAATATTTCCAAATATTACCAAATATTACCAAATAAGACCAAATTCCACAAAATATTATCAAATATTACCAAATATTACCATATATCACCAAATATTACCAAATATTACCAAATATTACCAAATATTACCAAATATTACCAAATAATACCTAATATTACCAAATATTACCAAATATTACCGGATATTACCAGATATCACTAAATACCACCAATATTACCTTCCAAATAATGATGGGTACCTGATGAATGACATTAATTACCTCGTTAATTACTAATGTATACAGGTAACCTCACTCTTCAACTATTATCAGCAGAAATGTCTATATATTTCGACAACTAAACTGATAAACGAAATAAACTTCAAATACTTTTATAGAACCGTATAGAACAAGGTCGAAAAAAACAAAATTGCTCAAACGGAATCATAACGACACCGCAGCAATTTTACACTACTTCAATTATCATCCTGTTCACCAGAAATTTGTGTGTATAGTGTCATTTTGCTCTGGAGAGTAACTGAAAGATGGGGCTAACCTCGGGGCTAACCAAGTGTGAGAGCCGAATATAAATTTATAATTGGATCTATGAGTAAATCGATTTAAAATTCGACCTCAGTTTAATTGTCGAAATATGTATAGATATTCCTACTGATAATAGTTGAATTAATGATAGTGATAAGGGTGGTTACCTGTATGAACTAGTAATAATTAATGTGGTTTATCAGGTTCCTAAACATTATTTGGAAGGTGAAATTGGTAATATTTTGTAACATTCCCGAATATTTCGTAATATTTGGTAATATTCGGAAATATTTGGTGATATTTAGTAATATTTGGTAGTATTCAGTAATATTCGGTAATATTTGGTAATATTCGATAATATTTGGTAATAATTGGTAATATTTGGGAATATTTGGGAATATTCGGTAATATTCGGTAGTATTTGGTAATATTTGGCATTACTTGGTAATATTTTGAAAAATCAGTAATATTTAGTAATATCTTGAGTATTATTGGTATTATTAGATATTACCTAGTTTATAGTAATATCCCGGAGTTCAGATAAGTTGCCATTCTTTAGTATAGATCTAGACAGTATTCCATTTTAGCTGACAGAGACATATTTCAAATAATACTCAGTATTGCATGGTATTGCCAACATAAAAATAAATAGTTATTTTCTCCACATGACATTAAACATGGCTTTTTAATGTCACTTAACAGGCATAGAAGGTGCACTTTAACTGCCTGGGTAGCTTAAAATCTTGTGATTTTCTCCCATGTAAAGCAAATAACTTTTTAGGTCTACTCAATTTGCCAAATTAGTTGCTGAAATATAGTTAGACATTCCTCAATACCTTTGTGGTTGTTTGGGTGTTCCTAGTCGCCGATTACTCAACCATTAGTCTT